CAGTCGCTACATGTGTCTACAACTCCTGACAAGCAAGGACGAAGCGGCGGCGGCGATCAAGAAGTTCAAGATGCGCGCGAAGGCCGAGAGCAGCAAGAAGCTCCGCGTGCTAAGGACTGATCGTGGTGGCAAATTCACTTCGGTGGAGTTCGCTGCGTACTGTGCGGATCAGGGTGTGGTGCGACACCACACCACGCCGTACTCGCCACAACAGAATGGCGTGGTGGAGAGGCGGAACCAGACAGTGGTCGACATGGCTCAATCCATGATGAAGGCCAAAGGCATGCTGGCAAGGTTCTGGGGTGAGGCGGTGACCACGGTGGTGTTCATCCTCAACCGCTCTCTGACCAAGGCCCTAACGGGCAAGATGCCATTTGAAGCTTGGTATGGGTGCAAGCCGAGCATGTCCTTCCTCTGAACATTCGGCTGCATCGACCACATCAGAAGACGAAGCCGATCCTCACCAAGCTAGAGGATAGGAGCACACTGATGGTGTTCCTAGGCCACGCGGAGGGTACCAAGGCATACCGGCTCTATGACCCACGTGGAGACAAGGTGCTTGTCTCGCGCAACGTCGTGTTCGACGAGAAGGCGGCTTGGGACTGGACCAGTCCAAGCACGAGGGAACCTGGCGGCTTCACCAGCACCTTCATCGTCGAGCACTTGGTCATCCATGGTGGTGGAGATCGCTGGAGAAGAGGTGTCGAGCACTCCGGAAGGGGTGCCGAGCACTCTAGTGGCAGAGCCGAGCACTCCTGGGGCATGCCGAGCACTCCGGGAGGAGTGCCGAGCACTCCTATAGGGATGCCGAGCACACTAGGAGTGGTGCCAGGATGTTCTGCAATGGTGGCAACCACTCCAGGACGGGTGCCGAGCACTCCCGTAGCAGAGCCAAGAGGTCTTGCGGTGGTGCCGACCACTCCAAGACTGAGGCTGAGCACTCCTACAATGGTGCCGAGCACTGTAGGAGTAGTGACGAGCTGTCCAGGAGTAGTGCCGAGCACTACAACCGGGGTGCCGAGCACTCCAGGTGCTGTGCCGAGCACTCCGGTGGAATAGGGAACTCCATCAACACTGATTGAGTTCGCCTCACCTCCAAGTGACATCACTGAATTTGTGGATGCCTTCCACGAAGGTGAGGAGGCACAGTTCCGCAGGCTAGACGACATCGGTGGCGGCACAGGGCCCTCAGGCCTGGCTAGTCGGCTGCTCAATGATCAAGAGCTGCTGCTCGTCAGCGCAGAGGAACCACCCATGTTTGCGCTGGCAGAGCATCGACGAAAATGGTGACGGGCAATACTGGAGGAGATGAAGGCGATTGAGGAAAACGAGACATGGCAGCTCGTCGATCCATCTCTAGGATGTCGTCCGATCAGCCTGAAGTGGGTGTACAAGGTCAAGCGAGACGAGCTCGGCGCCATTGTCAAGTACAAGGCGCGCCTCGTCGCCCGAGGCTTTGTTCAGCATGAGGGCATAGACTTCGAGGAGGTCTTTGCGCTAGTAGCGCGCATGGAGTCTGTTTGTTTGCTACTAGACTTGGCAGCAGCAAAGGACTAGTGCGTCCATCACTTAGACGTTAAATTGGCCTTTCTCAATGACGAGCTAGCGGAGACGGTCTTCGTTAGGCAACCTCCAGGTTTCGTCATCAAGGGAGAGGAGCATAGGGTCCTCCACTGCGCAAGGCGCTCTACGGGCTACGGCAGGCCCCACGAGCATGAAACGCCAAGCTTGACACCATGCTGGGCGAGCTTGGGTTTCAGCGGTGCACAACCGAGCACGTGCTCTACACGCGGCGACGGGGGAAAGAGGAGCTCGTCGTCGGCGTGTATGTGGACGATTTGATCGTCACCGACGCGTGCATGGAGGACATCAATAGTTTTAAGGGCGAGATGGCAGCTCGTTTTCGAATGAGCGATCTCGGCGCACTCTCCTACTACCTCGGTATCGAGGTGAGATAGGGGAAGGAGAAACTCATGCTCGGTCAGAGCGCGTATGCCTCGAAGCTGTTGGAGCGGAGCGGCATGGCTGAGTGCAAGCCATGAGTGACTCCGATGGAGGAGCGGCTGAAGCTGACAAAGGCCAGCACCGAGGTCAAGGTGGATGCAACACTCTACCGGAGCATCGTCGACGGTCTGCGCTACCTAGTCCACACGAGGCCGGACATTGCGTTCGCCGTGGGCTACGTCAGTCACTTTATGGAAGATCCTAGAGAGGATCACTGGGCTGCGGTGAAGCGGCTACTGCGCTATGTCAAAGGGACGGTAGATCAAGGGATCATCTTTCCCAAGATCGGTGGGAGTAGGCTGCAGCTCACTGTGTTCAGCGATGCAGACATGGCGGAGGACATCGACGGACGATAGAGCACCTCTGGCGTGCTCGTCTTCCTCGGGTTGGCTCCAATTTCATGGTTGTCGCTGAAACAGAAGGTGGTGGCGTTGTCTACGCATGCGAGGCGGAGTACGTAGCGGTGGCCACAACGGCGTGCCAAGTTGTGTGGCTATGCCGACTGCTGGGCGAGCTGACTGGTGCGGAAGCTCACCCACCAGCACTGATGGTGGACAACCAGCCCGCCATCGCCCTCGCGAAGAATCCGGTTCTGCACGACCGAAGCAAACACATCGACGTTAAGTTCCACTTCCTTAGGGACTGTGTCGATGGAGGGCAGATCGTCATCGAGTTCGTCGAAACTGGTCGGCAACTCGCGGACGTCCTCACCAAGCTGCTCGGACGTCTTCGACTCACGGAGCTGAATGAGATGATCGGCATGGAGGGGTACAAGGGATAGCAGTAGGATTAGGGGAAGAATTATTAGATAATCTGCTGCTTCCTTGTGTGAACATGCAGTAAGGGAATGCGGTGCCGAAAAGGCCCCCTGCTGTGGTACTGTAGCCGTTGTAGAGGTAGGCGTCGAATGGCTCACCTGCCGCACTGTAGTCACATGCAGGGACAGGCGCAGAAGTCGGTCCTGCTGTGTTATCTAGTCACTATAGTAGCATGGGAGCTGTACTAGAACTAGATGGATAGAGTTTAACTCAACAAGGAGAGTTCAGATTTGTCATCTTCTATATAGGGCTCCGGCCAACGCAGGTGCTTGTACTGTGCATGTTTGTTCTGTTCTTCCTCTTCTTCTACTTTTAGCCATAGTGTATGATCGGACAGCCTCGATCATGCTTGGCCGTGGTCGGTAAGACTGATGAGTGATCGACTCACCTGAGCCGGTGATCCTATAACCGCTGTCAAACTTGCAGCCAAGCAGTAGCACTAGCACAGTCATCCAGGGCACTGGGCAGTAGCAACCAGCAACCAGCAACCACGCACCCCACATCGCCCACACTCTAAGCAACCCACATATAGCTGACAGCCCAGCAGCCCACACCACCCGATCCTCGACTAGAGATCCATCTTGCTCTACCACCTCCTGCCGCACCGAGCCGCCCATCTGCTCATTGTTGACAATCTCTATGTTTTGGGGATGGCTAGTAGGAGCAACACTGGAATCTGGATATTCATATATGCTTACTCAGACAACCTTGGTATGGAACGGATTAGAGTTTAACACCATTGGCATATATAAAAATTATGTTTTTAGGTGGCAGATAAGGGATTTAGCTTTGTGTCAATGGTATGTAAGATTTTTTTCTAATTTCTGTATGGATTATAAAATGAGTATATTGAGACAAAGAGCAAGGATGAACATTTTTTATTAGTTGTAGGTACCAAACTTATCGCTACTTACATTGAAAATTGCTATTATATGTCTCACGAATTGATGGGTGCTACTTATGATGAAAATTGCACTGTTTACCATGAAAACTATACCTCTTCAGTGAGGGTATATAGATGAGTACACGGTACCTAAACCCTCTCATAACCACATGCATGTTACACACAAGGGCACAAGGCTAGCTAAGAAGGCGTAGCATCTAACACACTGGCACACGCATCAGCCGACGACGCTTATGATTCGTTTTCCCCGGATCGATCGGACCATCTCATACAGTACTTGAAATTCCTGCATGATGTTGATGACTCGATCCGCTTGAACCCCGTTACGCCCATCGTCCACGATGCATACATACACGAACGGAACACATATGAAGCTAGGCGAGCTAGCTGATATGGACGTCTCCATCCGGCGTGTACGACCTCGCGCACGTCACATTCGCCGCGTACGCGACCTAGCTAGCTAGCCATAGCTAATTAACGACCTCAATCATCAAGCTGGTAGATGGCGGTCATCCCCTGTTCCCGCGCCATTAATTTGCAGCTAGCAGCCTGCTTTGCCTCCCCCCGGAAGCATGCACGCACGGAAAACGACCGCACGCCACGGCCGGCGGGCTGTGCTAAGAAATAAGAATGCTGCCGGCACTTGGGCGAGCAATCTCATGATGATCTCGCGCATGCTCCGTAGCAGGTGGATCGGATCCGATGGGAACCCTCTTGCGGAGCACGGGCGGCATGATGACAGCAACAGGATGCTGGTTGGAATCTTTCCACCTGTGCCTAGCCAGGGGGCCTAGCACAGGTAGCAAGTAACAGCATGTTTACTTGCTCGTATATGATCGTGAATTATAAACTAGAATAATATTTTTCTCTTGTACCAAACTAGTCAGCAGTAAATAATCTACGACCGTTTACGACGAAACGAACAGGGTGTGCATCGGTTCGTTTCAGTTGTTGCCTCAGCAGATAGGGACGTCGCCGCCGGGCCGGAGGGCATAGTCCGTTTTAGCTAGCTTTGCCTCTAGCAGGTAGCCTCCTCTATATAACGGAGTTCTCTCGCAACCAACTCCGGTCACACCCACACACACTTGGTACCTCTACCTCCTCAATTCGGAGAATAGAATCATCAGAGACAGGTCGATCAGACTGTGTACTGAATGCGGTCTTGATCGATCGATACATAGGTGATTGCTAGCTGCTCCGATCGAGCAGTCGATCGATCGATCTCCAGGCTTGCAGCTAGCAGGGATCCACACGGATCGATCGAGTACCGATCCATGGCATTGAGGGAGATCGAGTCGACGTTGCCACCGGGGTTCAGGTTCTACCCCAGCGACGAGGAGCTGGTGTGCCACTACCTCCACAAGAAGGTGGCCAACGAGCGCATCGCGAAGGGGACGCTCGTCGAGGTCGACCTGCACGCGCGCGAGCCGTGGGAGCTCCCAGGTCAGTCAGTGTTATTAATAGCTCGATCGCTGTATCCGTCCAAGAATCTGACGTCGTTTAACTGGGGTTTATCTGATCTGCTGCCTGCGTCGATACGATCGATCGATCCATCTGCGCGCTCGTGCCTGCAGAGGTGGCGAAGCTGACGGCCACCGAGTGGTACTTCTTCAGCTTCCGGGACCGCAAGTACGCGACGGGGTCGCGCACCAACCGCGCCACCAAGACGGGCTACTGGAAAGCCACGGGCAAGGACCGCGAGGTGCGCAGCAGCGGCGCCGTCGTCGGCATGCGCAAGACGCTCGTCTTCTACCGGGGCAGGGCCCCCATCGGCGTCAAGTCCGGCTGGGTCATGCACGAGTTCCGCCTCGACGCCCCGCATTCGCCACCCAGGGTACGTGTACGTCGTGCATTTTACGTAACACACACCTTGCTACTCGCAACTTAACTAACACAGGTTAATGAGTTACTCCCGGTAGTCCAGCAGCGTGCTAACCAATTGCTCAATTGACTGGTTTATCCACAAGAAACTCTTTCTAAAAAAAATCTAGAAATTGTCTAGTACTCCCTCCGTTCCAAATTATAATTCGTTTGATTTTTTTTACCTTAGGTTTGACCGCTCGTTTTATTCAAAAAATGTGTGCAAACATAGTCAAATTTAAGTCATTCCACTTTTTGTTAATAAAGCAAGCCACAACAAAAGAAAGTGATATTTAGCACAAATTTTTGAATAAGACAAATGGTCAAACTTAGGGTTAAAAAAAAGTCAAACGAACTATAATTTGAAACGGATTTAGTAGTAAGTATACTAGTAGAAGGCAGACTGAGTTTCAGAGGTGAAGGATGGTACTGTAGTACGGAGTATCTATCAAAAGAAATTAAAAGAAAAGCTTGTTTCGCTGAACAATCAATTGATTAGCTGAGCAAGCAAGCGGATCCGCCCCGTGAACCACGGGTGGTGAACGTACTGGAACAGCTAGGTGGCCAGTACAAGCTAAGGACCTCACATTACACGGGGAAGACAGTGACACGAGCTTATTGAATTCACAATCATTCGTGAATTGCGTGCGTCGTCGACTGAATTAGCATGCAAAACACCAACACGTGAAGAAACGTCTGCTCTTGTCTCCATCCTTTTTTTTTTTTTGAGAAACTCTCTTGTCTCCATCTTATAGACGTCCTGCGACGTGCTATGTTCCCGACCCACTTATTATATCTTGATGGGCCGAGAATTCGGCCTATCCAGTATACAGTATATGGTTACTGGTTACATGCATGATCCCAACTCTCAATAGCACTGATTGTGAATTCAAGCGGGCCTCGGTTGTGCAGTTGTCGTTTCTTCCTCCCAACCTAAACAGCCGAGCTCGGTCCAACTGAATTTACAACTGCCACTCGGTAGTCTCTGCAGTAACAGTACTACTAGTCGACGAGCAACCAGCATGCATCGTGCAATGCATGCATATGCCTGCTCCTCCACAAGGACAAGGTGGCCCAGGAACATCAGGCACGGGTGATCCTGTGCGCGCCTGCATAATTAGTCCTTGTGCGACTGCAAAGCATCAGCGCAAGGACGGACGACGTCCTCGATCAGCACAGACGTGCAGATAAAATTGGTCATGTCACGCACAGGCGGCGCAGACACGTTGTAGACGTGCGAGGAGTGATAAAGCAGGGCAGGGCAGAGAGTGGACCAGCCATATTTGACTGCCTGCTCCCCTGCGCTAGCTGCACAATAGTCGTACATTCTTGACCTCGTGGCCTCGGCGTAGGCGCCTAGCACTAGCGGTCCCTAGCTACGGACGAGTACAATAATTGGCGGATGGATTCACCTTGGAAGTAGGAGCGCCGGTGAGTACTCCCTCACTCCTTACAGAAAAAAACGCTAGCTTTGAACCTGAAAACACGAACGGAGAGAGTACGTTGCATGCACTAATTAAAAAAAGTTTAATATATCGGCCAATTATAAAGTGCCAGCATTTCTCAATTCTCTCAAGTCTGAACAGTGGCAAATTGGCAATCGCTGCCCGTGTGTGCGTGCAGGAGGACTGGGTGCTGTGCAGGGTGTTCCAGAAGACGAAAAGCGACGGCGGCGACGGCCAAGACGGCGACTCCTCCTCCTCGCCCGCCTTCGCCGGCACGTCGCACGCCATGCCGGAGCCGGACCATTATTCCGCGGCATCATCAGGAGGCTACTACGGCCTCGCATTTGTGCCGCAGCACCAGCAGCAGCAGGAGGAGGTGGCGGCGGCCGTGCTTCCACAGTATTACGGCGGCACGGTCATCGACCACCACCACCACCACCACGGCTTCATCACGCGAGACGACGCGAGCGCCGCCGCGTTGCCAGGGTTTGGCGGCGCGATGAGGGGAGTCGCCGGCGGTGAGTATGGGTTTGGATACTTTGACATGGGTGGCTTTGATGACATGGCCAGCCTTGGTGCTGGGGACATGGAGTTTCCTCAAGTGTGGAGCTAGATAGCTGATTGTGCAACATCACCCGACCGGAGACCGTCCTCTTGAAGGAGAATACGTACATTATTGTTATTACTGGATCAATTAAATTTATTAATTGTTTAATACACATGGGGTTTGGCAGGTAGATTAGATTGGGTTTGAAAAATGCTTTGAGCTTGACAAGGTTCATTGTGAACGTGAAAAATCAAATGTAAATTAATTGGGAAATCATCCTTTGTTTTCTAAATTATTAAGTATATACTAATTGATTATTGTGGATGCAAAATACAGTACTCCGTACGTATCATTCGTTTTTTCTTGGGGGAGGAGTGGGGGCACGTGTCCTCACAATCATAAATCTGCATGCGCCTGAATCAATTTGGGGGAACAAAACAGCTTTATGGTCCGGCAATTGGGAGGTTGAAATAAAGGCCCAGCAAATTATTCACAACACTGGCAAAAGCTTACCAAAATGTCTGGCAATAGGACAGATGTTATTACCTGCTACTCTACATGAGAAGAAGGTACTGCGTCACGTATTGTTTTTAGCTATATTTTCAATAGGCTTAGTTCACACACGAGTCGCGTTCGTTTGGTGTCCTCTCGTCTCACCGTATGTCTCTCTTTTCATCTATCCAGTGTGGGTTGTGTTTAGTTGTGCGGCAATTAGTACATAAATGATTTTTACAAACGCCTTTCTTTTCTACAGAGGCGGTTTTTTTTAGCACACCGTCTCTAACCTTCACGGGAGCCATTATAGCTTCATGACCATGGTTGGAAATCAGTTTTCAGGGACGGTTCCATTAAGAAAACCGCATCTAGAAACATGTCCATTTCTAGGGGCGGTTCTTTTAAGATAACCGCCCCTGAAAATACGATTTTTGGGGACGGTTGCCTTTACAAATGTGTGTTCCCTCGACTTGGACTGAGTTGGTCGACTGAACGAGAAACCATCATCCTCTCAGGACTGATTTTCCTTGTTGTTTGCATGGCCAGAGAGGATAGTTAACAAGAAAAAAATCAAAATAAACCAAAGGTATATCCTAGCTAATATTAGTTTCTAACCATATATACGTAGTTCAAGAAAACGAGTGATAAACACTATACCACATCCCCAATGTAGCGATCTTCTTTTGTGTTGCTACAATACGACTCCTTGGTTCAGTCGTTATAAGTGGTGTCAACATAAACTTTTACCGATTCACTCATTCTTACCATTTTTATTGGGACTAGATGGACACTCTTATGGAGATGTGCCGACAAATATTTCTTGGTGTGCCTACATGAAAATTTTGGTGTTAAAATCAGATGTTTTATTGTTTTTTTACCTACCATTATCATCCATCCATGTTAAATAACATGTTAGTTCACAAATAGATATAGCGCTGCAGTATTTGTGAAGTTATTTTTCCCTAGCATTATCATCGATCCATGTTTTGTCATCAACTTTTGTTAAGGAGAAGAGCACATTTCTAAATAAAGTAAAAGTAAATAAAAATTAGACCATGATCCATCGTATTAAACCGCACTGTGTATTAATTCACCGGCACTACATACACAACCAACAACACCATGTATTTATGCGGTTCCTTCCAACAAATATTCATATTTATACTTGTAAAAATCAGAACAATGTCAAATTTTACTTTGACTCACTAAGTCATTTCTTGCATATTAATATTGGTATACTATGAAATCCCATAATTAGGAGAAATTAAGCATACTCATCATATATGAAATTATATCTCTCATCCCTCCATTGAATCTACTTATGAGTTTTGGTTACCGATGTGTTTTCAGGTTGCATCCTACTCTGTTCATAGTGTGCACCTATCAAATTCAATGCTATAGTTGTTTCTTGGACCAAAATAATACATTGTTCATGGTGAGATATGGTATCAATTGGTGGACACAAAGTGACACTCAAAGCAATACCATTGTAGTAGTGTACTTGAATGAACCATCAATGAAGCTTAGGCCTCCACAAGCTAATGCTTCTTGGACGAAAATTATATTAGCATCGAGTCAAAATGCACATGGAGAGAAACAAACCATTGCATTAGCTCATACTCCTACATCTAATCCGAGCACTTTCTCCTCATGTAGCTCAGGCATCTCCTCTTGGCCTCTTCCCAACACAGACCTCCCGCCTCCTAGATGACAACATAACCACCTGCTCCTAAGTCTTGCTCCACACTGACATCCTAGCTAGATAATTATGCCTCCACCTTCTTTCAGGTCCTTCACGGCGCATACCTCCTAGACACGATGTCTCCATAGCCAATCCCTGAGCTTCCGTCCGCTTGTCAATGAGATAACCTATAGGCGTGCATGGTCAATCAAAATAATCATCCCTGACCCAAAGTTTAGTTCAAATGGAAAGAAAAAACATGATTTTTTTGATAGACACTACGAATATCAATAACTAGTTGCATATTGAGAGCAACTCCACCACATCCCTTTTATCATTTCCCTTAAAATTTACTACAGGAGATTGAAGAAACATGTTTTCTAGTTTTGGCGACGATTGCTCCAGCATGAGAGAATATACATCCTCTTAATCTCCCTAATAATGGACCCACATGTCACTGAGTGGGTCATTTTTTTCTTCTTTTTTCCACACTTGTCTCTCTTCTGTTCTCCCCCCTCTCACTGAGTGGATCAGTTTTTTCTACTTTTTTCCTCACCTGTATCTCTTCTGTTCTCCCCCCTCTCCTCTTCTCTATCCTCCCCCTGCTCTCTTCTCTCTCTACCCCAACGTGTAGACATGGCGGCTAGCTCAAGAAGCTATAAGCCCATAGCTTGCGTAATGTCCGACGCTCAATAAGGCTTGTCTAGGCGCAGTGGCCGGCGCTCAACGAGGCGAGACAGAGCCTATGTAGTGCGTGGCAAGGCGACGCGAGGGTGGGCCGGCGGGCAGAGTGGCTGCCAACAATAGTTGGCGCTTCGAGCGGTGTGGTGGCTAGCGCTTCAGTGGCATGCCAAATAACAACATCTAAATCGGCTACCACACTACCACACATAAACCATTTTTAGAGGCACCTCCTGCCTCTAGAAATTCCCTCTATCTCTAGGGACGGTTGGAAACCTTGGTTGCCTCTAAAATGTCTTTTTTAGATGTGGCTGGCCAAGCCATCCATAGAAATGGAGGCATTTCTAGAGGCAGTTGGGATGCCTCTGAAAATAGGTACAATATAGTAAAATTCATAACTTTTTTCAAATCAAATTAGATAAAGACAAACTTTATATTAAAGTTGTAGTACTCGAATAAATCTACAACTTTGTAGTTGATAATATTTCTATTTAAAATCAATTAAGACCCTAAAATTTTATTTTAGGTTTCCATAATTTAAAATTAAAAAAAATCAAAATTTTCAAATTACCTCGGATGGAGAAATGACATAAACCAAAGTTGTAGTACTCGAAGGGATCTGCAAAGTTTTAGTAGACTAACTTTTTATTTGAAACTATTTAGTATCTTGAAATTTTATTTTAATTTTTCAGATTTTGAACTTTTTTTTTGAAGTTTTCAAAGCACCTCGGATGGAGCAAAGGTTTAGTACTCATACATATATGCAACCTTGTAGCTGACCACTTTTTCTTTGATATAATTTAGGACCCAAAAAATTGATTGTAAGGTTAATGATTTTAAAATTGTTTTTTTATTTTTCAAATGACCTCGGATAGAAAAATGGTCTAAACCAAAGTTGTAGTACTCGAAGAGATCTAAAACTTTTTAGGTCAATTTTTTTTTATTTCATTTTGAGTATCAAATATTCATTATAATATATATTAAACTAAATATAAAAGGAATATATCATCAACTTAGTCACAAGTGACTTTGAGGCACAATGATACGGAAGCAACTTCGCTAGGCTTAGGTCCTGAGTTTGATCCTCACAGCTGCACGCACGCAGAAATCATGAGACTAAGGTCGTGGGTTCGGAAACATGGCTAGTGGGCTTCTTTCGGATTAAAAAATCTTTCCCAAGATTTAAAAAATTGTTGATTTCTAGATATGCATAGATAGATCCAACTGTCTCTAAGAAAGACTGCATTTAGTAGTGCTGGTCGGGTTGTGCAGAGAGGAGCAACGAATCTGTGAAGACCAGATTAAAAAATTGCTAATTTTTAGGGATGTGTAGGGTAGATCCAACTGCCTCTAAAAATTGTTTTTTAGCAGTGCTAGTCGGGTGGTGTGGAGAGGAGCAACGAATCAGTGAAGGCCAGATTAAAAATTGCTAATTTCTAGAGCTGTACAGATAGATCCACTGCCTTAAAAAATGACTTTAGAGCATCTCCAACAACGCCCCAATATCCCATGAACACCGCCGGTGAGCGCCCCCCCCCCAAAAAAAACCATATTCCCTTTCCTCCTTCCTCCGCCAAGATCTTGAGCCGACATAGCACGAGCATGCCTAGCAAGCTCGGTGACGTCGAGGCCCAAGGGCGACCCCCTCCCAACCCCTTGTACCACCAGGATCTCGAGTGCAGCCACGCCCGACGAGCTCGGGGACGCCTAGCCACGTGGGTGACCGCCTCTTTGTCCACCTCTCATCCCCTTGTGGTAGGATCTCGAGCGGGGTGGAGGAGCTTTGGCATGGGCAGCAAACGAGCTCTAGCGTGGGCGGCGGACGACCTCAACATCTTGGCACAGGGCATGGGCAGCAAGGCGCAGTGTGGAGGTACTACTTTGAACCACTGGAAGGAGGTAACCATGGCGGCTGGTACAACGAGCAAGGCCGATGGTGAACAAAGGAAGAATAAGTGATAATTAAGGTGAGCCCCACTCTATTGGGGAGATGCAACTTCCCCTTCATTTGATTGGAAAAGAGGAGTTTTTTTTGTGGCCACCAAAAAAAGGACAACTGGAGAAAGAAAAGTGATCCATCTCTCCCAATATAACAATTCTATGGGGATGGAGGGTGGGATTGAGGGTCTGTTGGAGATGCATTGCTTGGAGATGGCAATGGGTATGTACCTGTCGGGTAGTGCCATCCCATATCCGTAGCCGTTAGACA